CCAGTGGGTGGGGGTCCCTGGCACTGGGAACCCCAAAAAGAAGATGGGTGCCTCGGGGGACGTGGGGACCCCAAAGAGGGGATGGGAGTCCCTGGGGAGTTGGGGACCCCAAAGACAGGATGGGGGTTCTTGAAGAGGTGGGGAGCCTAAAGAGGAGCTGGGGTTCACTAAGGAGGTGGGGGGGTCCCAAAGAGGGGATGAGTGCCCCTGGGGAGGTGGTGACCACATAGAAAGAATGGGGATCCCTGGGGACCCCAAAGAGAAGCTGGGGTTCACTGGGGAGGTGGGTACCCCAAAGAGGGGGTGGGTGTTCCTGCGAAGATGGGGACACCAGAGATAAGATAGGTTCCCTGGGGAGGTAGGACCCCAAAGAAAAAGTGGGTGTCCATGGGGAGGTGGGTTCCCCAAGAGGGGATGGGGTTCCTTGGGGAGGTGGGAACCCCAGAGAACGGGTGGGTGTCCATGGGGGGTGGGGACTTCAAAGAAGAGCTGGGGTTCACCAGGGAGGTGGGAACCCCAAATTGGAGCTGGGGGTTCCTGGGGAGGGGGGGACTCCACAGAAAGGCCGAGGATCCACAGGGCATCGTCCTGCCAAGCCCGCCCAGAGCAGTCCCCCAGGATGGGGTGAGGGCAAGAGCCTGCACACGAGGTCAGGGTCCAGACGCCCGCAGCCACGTTTCCTCCTGCGCTGGGTTTATTTTGTCATTCCCCAGGCAGCAGAGGGGTCACAGCCCCATGGGGCCGGGGGGCAGGGGAGCAGCGGCTGTTTTCATTCCTCAGCTGAACGAAGACTATCAGAAATGACGCAAGTTCCCAACAGAGCCGAGCAGGGAGGGTGATGGGGGATGTGTCAGCCAGGAGAGGCAGCCAGATGTGCTCCGGCAGCTGCAGAGCTGCTGCCCCACGGCGATGCTGCCTGCCAGGGTGCAGCCCCGCAGCCATGCCCCCTGTACCACTCCACAGTGAGCGCACACCCCCAGGGTGGCATTGTTTGGTCCCTGTCCCACACTGCGCTGTGGTGCCTTTGTTATCCTATAGTCACCCATGCTGCCTGGCCAGGATTCCGCCTCCCCCAGGGTGTGGAATCCAGGGATGCTGCTGGGATGAGCACCCCGGAGTGGAAGCTGGGGCAGGACACCCCCTCCAGCACGAACTGGAGCGCTGGTGCAACTCAGCCCAGCCCAGGACATGACCAACAGCGCTCCACCCTCCCAGCGAACCCCCAGTGCTCGGGACACCCTGACCTCCAGTGGCGTCAGACCCTGATGCAGTCCCGCTGTGGGGGGCCCTTTTGCTGGAGCCTGAGCTCCAGGCACGTCTCTGCCTCCTCCCCGCAGCTGCTCTGCAGATGGGCTCGCAGCAGACCCTGCTTGGCCCGGGGCCGAGCGCCCGCAGGGAGGAGCGGTCCCCCTCGGGGGCCCCGGCTGTCCGAGGCCAGAAGGGCCGGGCACATCCCGGCCAGGAAAAACAGAGGCCCCATGGCCAGGCGTGCGGCGGCCCCGTCGGCGCACACCGCAGAGCGCTGGAATAACAGCCCTCGTGCCGGGGCCCGCCGTGCGCTATCAAAGGGCCCTTCTTCTGCCTGAAAAACGGGGGCCCAGCGAGGGCTGGCAGCGAGGGGAGCTGCTCCACGCCGTCGGGGGGCACCCACTGCGTCCAAGCCAGGCGCCGGGCGCATCCCGCCCCATCACCCTGGGTAGCATGGGTGTGCCCGAATGGTGTTGGGGGATCACTTGGATCAAGCCATAGGGAGCAGTGTGTCCCCAGTGCGTGTGCCAGCACGGGCATGGCGCCCACCCGGCTTCCACTGGGAGAGCCTCTGGGGCAGGTCCAAGGCACCGGGGCCGTGGGGGAGAGGGGGACACGCCCCCTTTCCCTCGGCCACGCCTCCCTCCAGCAAGACCACGCCCCTTTCTTATATATCACCGCTACGCTTTGGCCACGCCCCCTCCCCGCTCTCCGCCAATAGAAGACGCGCGTTCTCCCGGCGCCACCAATCAGCTTGCGGCGCGGCCTGTGTTTACGGTCTCCATGGAGACGAAGGAGCTCCCCTCGGTGCAGGCGCCATGGACGGGGCGCCCCACGGGTGGGTGAAGGGACAGGGGGTGACCCCCAGCGGAGGTGCTTGGAGGGCTGGGGTCTTGGGGGCGCTATGGAGCACACGGGGGAGGGGGGGTAGGAAGTGGGGGGGTCTGGGGTACGGCCTGGGGGGGTCGCTCCTGGGGAGGAGGTAAGGGTAGAGCCTAGGCTGGGAGCTACAGAGCCCTGGGAGGGGACACGGAGAGCGGAATGGGACATACTGGGGGGCTGAGCCTGGGCTGGGGCACTGGATGAGGGAGAGGGGAGTTATGGAGGGGCGACCTTTCTGAGCATGGGCATTTGTTCTCCACCCCGGGGTGGAGGTGACACTGCGGGGTACCTGGCCTCGGGGTCCTGCCCATGCTGATGGGGGGCTGCAGGCAGGGCAGGGAAGATGAAGGATGCACCCCACCGCCTTCCCTCAGGCACTGCCCCCACTCGCAGGGTGGCTCTGCCAAGCCATACACACCCTGAGGAGAGGCCACTGTGCACGGATGGGACCCAAAGCAATGTCCTCCTGCCTGCGGTGCCCATGGAGGAGCCCCCATGTGATGCACTGATAGCCACGACGGAGCTGCCTGCCGAGGCCCTGCCAGCTGTGTCCAGCACGGTGCCACCCACTGAGGCTGACACGGATCTCCATGCAGCGGAGCTGCCGCCCTGCACAGGGAGCTATGGGGCTTCTGCCTCTGAGGTGCCCTCCACCGTGGTGCTGCAGATGCCTGCGGAGCAGCCCCCCAGGCTGGGGCCTCGGGGACGCTGCTTGATCCACAACTGGCAGGAGGAGGTAACTCCTCACCATGGGGGGCGATGGGGGGGAATGTCCCTTCAAAACTCACCCCATCGTATCCCATTGTGCTGATCACATGAAGCTCCCTGACCCTGGGCAGCCCCCTCTCTTTAAATAGCTCCCCGGTGACCTTGAGCCTAGCGGGATGGAAAGGGTATGAAATTCAATAGCATAAAAGGCACGGGCAAGAACGTGGGGAGCGATGGTGGGGCTGTGGGAGGAAAGCAGGGAGCTTGCTGCTGGGATGTGGGGATGCCTGCTTGGGCAAGCCAGGCTGGGGGGACATGGGCTAAGCTGTGCCACAGCCTGGGGACCCCATAGTTTGCTCAAGTGCAATAAGAGCACTTGCCCTACATCAGGGGCCCAAGCCACAGATGCCCCCACTCCTGCTTTCCCAGGGAGCTGGCTTGAAGGACCATTCCTTCCTCCCCCTCTTTTTGCAGCTCATGCCTCTGGGATTGCTCCCAGGTCCTGTCAGGCATCTACCTGCATGGCACAGCCTCAGGTATGGGGCAGTGCCCTAGACTGCAGCTGCTCAGCAGGAGTGGGGTGATAACCTCACCTCCCACCCCTGCACAGAGTCCCCAGTGGATTACCAAAAGCCTAAAAGCCAACAGTGGGCACTGCAGGGTGTGCTCCTGCCCCCTTCCCACAGCTTCCACCATCACTCTACAGAGAGCCACGAACCATCTGGACATCGTGCAAGGGCAGGAGCAGGGCAGTGAGGGGTTCATCCACCGGCACGGCCATCCCAGGCTGCTGTACCACCATCACCTCCCTGGGCCCAACAACAGCACCACCATGGACACCTACTGCCTGCCACATAGCGTCCTGATGCCGGGACAAGGTGAGGCTGAGCCGTGTGACCCCCCAAAAGTCAGCAAGGGAGTCAAAGCTGTGGGGCTGATGGCACCTTTTCCCCTCACAGGGCAGCGTGAGGCCACGCTGAAGGCCATGCTCTACCATAAATACAGGTAAGTCTGCATCCCTAAGTGCATGGCCATGACCCAGAGGAGGGGACCCTGCTGGGGGGGTGTCCCAGCACTGAGGGGTGCAGGGTCTGCTCTGCTGCAGGGAAGAGATGCTGAAGAAGATCTCTCCCCCCCGGATGCCCATGGAGTCAATGTCTGTCACGCACCAGGATTACAAACCCAAGGGTTGCCTGTCTGCACCATCGCCCCCTTCCCAGGTATAGGCTGGGGACACCCCCCCACACCCCCCCCCAAGCTTGTGGCAGCCCCCAGTGAGCCTGCAAGGCTCCTGTGTCCCATTGGACATGCCATACCCCTGTTCACTGACACATGGCTTCCACTTGCAGCCCCATGACTACCTCACAGAGCAGCCCTGCAGCTTCTGGCTGGAGCAAGCCCGCAGCCTCACTGTAAGCCCCCCCCCCCCGGCACCCTTCCCTTCCAGCACTCAGAGGGCTCGGCTACTGATCCGGACCTCTCCACTTCCCTCCCCTCCAGGGTGTCACCAGCATCCGCAGCAGGGACAGCCCCTTTCGGAAGGACGCATCCTTCTCCACTCCCATCACGGAGTCCCTAGACCAGCCCCCGCCCTGCGCCCCGCTGACCAGCCGGGTACAGTCCCACAAGCAATAAATACATCGGGGTACGGGTGTTCTCAGCCTCCTTTCTGCCTCCTCAGGATGGGTGTTTGGACGGGGAGCACCGTGTCCCTAGCATCCCGTGGGGCCACGCAGTGCAGGCACTGGGACCACTATCCATCCCCTCTGCACATCACTGGTACCCCAAAACACACGGTGGCCTTTGCGCAGGGAGGGATCCTGGGACGTGCCCGTCTCCCAGTGCCCCCAGCGGGTGACACACGGTCCCCATCCCAATCCCCACGCACAGGTGGGTTCCAGTAAGGAGGCGGCGGCGCTTCCGGAGCATGAGCTCAGCGGAACGCACTGCAGCCCTCGGGCCAAAGCAAACCCCGCCGCACCGGCCCTGCCGTCCCAGCACCGCCCCGAGCCCTCGCCAGCCGCAGCCGCCCTGCGCCGCCCCCCCCCACGGGATGCTCCCTGCATCCGTCCCCATCCCAGGCTCAGCTCCATGCTCGGGGGTGTCCCGTGTCCCTCACCCCCCACTTGGCAGAGCGAAGCAGAGGTCGGGGCACAGAGGGATTTGGGGAAGTTTGTATTTCCACAAAATAGTTTGCAGCGACTCCTATATTTACACCTGGGGGGGGGGGGGGGGGGGTATTTACATGACCCGGTGGGGTTATATACAGGGGAGGGGAAGACTGGGGAAAGGAGGGGGGGGAGCCGCAGCATTGAAGCATGCCCTGGCCAAGGGATCATACCCAGCAGGAGCCCCTGTATCCCCCTCCCCGGGTAGGGGTTGACATGGGCACAACTTCTGCCGGGGGGGCCAGGTACTGAAAAGAGATGGCAAAGTGCCTACGGGGCAGCCAGGCCCCGGGAGAGGCTCAGAGCCAGCTGAGCCATAGGGCAGAGGGAAGGGAAAGCAGGGATATAGGGTCCCCCGGGCTGGATGGCAGCAGAGGCTGCAGGGAGAACTGGTCTTTGCTGGTGCCAATGGAGGGGGCCAGGCAATGCCGTGGCCGCTGGCCCCCTGTGCCCAAGCCCTGCTGAAGCAGGGGGGCTGCAGTGTGTGTATAGGGGCTACAGTGATGGAGGGTGCCGGTGCATCCCAGGGGTCCAGGCACCGGGCATTGTTGGCTGCCCCATCAGGGCTGGGGCTCTGCCACTGCCACCAGGCTCAGATGGGGTCTTTCCTCTCACCCAGCAGCCAGTATGTCCGCATCTTCCCCTTGCCCTGGGGATGGAGGGGATGGTGAGACCCTCCCCACCTCCTTGGGTACCGTGCCCAGCACCAAGGGGCACAAGGGGTCCCAGCCCCAACCCACCCACAGTGTGGCAGGAAGCACTGTCACCCCACCGGTGTCCCTGCTCCCTTACCTTCATCTCCACATCCCCACGCAGCTCCAGCTCGAAGCAGCCAAACTCATCCAGGACCTCTTTGGTAGTGGATGATACGTGGATCTTCAGGGCTGGTTGGAACGGGGGGGGACAAAAAGACACATGACTGGGTCTGGAAGCAGGGCATGCCGTGCAGCACTGAACCCCATCCGCCCTCCCCATGGCTCACCCTGTCCATTGGACTCCATGCGAGATGCGGTGTTCACTGTATCCCCAAACAGGCAGTACCGTGGCATCTTCAATCCCACCACCCCAGCACACACCGGACCTGTGGGCACAGGGATGCTCGCGGCTGCTGCAGGGCAGATGGGTGCCCCCCGGCCGCGGCGCCAGCGCTCACCGGTGTGCACGCCGATGCGCAGCCGCAGCTGGTCATTGGGACGGTGCCGGATCTTGAAGGTTTTGACAGCCTCAAGCAGGGCCAGGGCCATGCGGACGATCTCACGGGCGTGCAGCTTCCCGTTGCGCACCGGCAGCCCCGACACCACCATGTAGGCATCCCCAATAGTCTCCACCTGCGGGGTCGAGGGCAGCAGGTATACCCCTGGCTCCTCGCTGCCTGCCTCACCTTGGGGGCTGAGCTTGCTGGTACCCCCCTCACCTTATAGACGTCAAAGTTGTCGATAATGGCATCGAAGCATGTGTAGAGATCGTTCAGCAGCGTCACAACCTGGTGAATGAAGGGTGCGTGTGGGGCTGGCAGTGGGCATGTCCCCCCTGCCCCAGCAATGGCACTGCCAGGGTATGACCCCCCATGCCAGGGCTGCCCTCCAAGCCCTGCTCTCACCTGCATGGGGGTGCTCTCTGCCGAGAGGGCAGTGAAGCCCACAATGTCACTGAAGTAGATGGTGACACTGTCAAAAGCCTCAGCCCGCACCGTCTCCCCACGCTTCAGCTGCTCCGCCACAGAGCTGGCAATGACAGCGGGTGATGCTGGTGAGCTCCCAACACAACCCCATTCCCTCCGCACCCCTTGCGCCCGACTCCATGCATCCCAGCAGCGGATGCATGCTGACCCCACACCAACCCCCGGAACCGCACGCTCCCATCTCCCCCCCTCTCACTGGGGCAGGATCTGGTAGAGGAGGTTCTCCGCTTTGCGCTTCTCCTCCAGGTAGGCCTGCGTCCGCTCCTCCACCAGCTTCTCCAGGTTGTTGGCATACTGCTCCATGCGTGACAGCAGGTTGTCCAAGATGCTGGTGCTGCCCTCCCTGCCGGGGTACACTCAGTGGCACCATGGGAAGCCCCCGGCTGCAGCCCCCATGGCCATCCCTGCTCCCCCCCACAGGGCCACCCTGCCCATTCACCAGCCACCCACTTGTTGAATCTGCGGATGAAGATCTTGATCTGGCTGAAGTCGGGGCGCTCGGCCGGGTCCTGCGCCCAGCAGCGCTCCATCAGCACCGCCAGCTCCTCACTGTGCACCCCGATGTCAATGGAGGGCCGGAAGAACGGCTTCTGGCTGTTACGCACCTTCTGCACGATCTCTGCAGGGGGTAGCCAATAATGTGACCACCCCAGCAGGGATGGGACCACCCCACAGCTTCCCCCCATCCTCACCTTTGGGGCTCAGGTCCATGCCCTCGATGTAGAAGGGGCCGTTGCGCAGCGCAACCTCCTGCACGATGATGCCGAAGCTGTAGACATCAGCTTTCTGCATGCCCGGCGTGGGCAGGCGCCCTTTCTGCAGCAGCTCCGGGGCTGTCCACAGCTTCTCTGGTGGGACACAGCCATGGAGTGGTGAGACAGGGCCACCCCACCCCTCTGGTCCCCATGAGCAGCCACTCACTGGCATAGAGGGCATGCGTGTCCTCGCCGTCGCAGGGCGAGCGGAAGCTGGCCAGCCCGTAGTCGGTGATCTTCAGCACGAAGCGGCTGTCCACCACGCAGTTGGATGACTTGAGGCTGCCGTGGTGGCCGATGATGCTGTTGTGCAGGAAGGCCATCCCCTGGGATGGATGGATGGACAGGGTGAAGCCGGCATCCCCCAGGGGCATCCCTCAGCCTTTTACGCCCCTTGCTTGGGTACCTTGACGATGTCATTGATGAGGGAGTGGCGGAACATCCAGTCCAAGTTGATGCTCTCATTCTCCAGGACATCCTGGGACAGCACATTGAGTGGACCCCAGTTCAGCAGGATGATGGCGCTGATATCAGCCCCATAAGCACCCACCTGCAGAGGGACTCTGCAGCACCAATCCCCCCCCCTTCATCTCTGACTTCTGTTTGGGCACCTCTGCTGCAAGTCTCATGGGCCACCAGCACCCAGAGCCCTGTCCCCAGTGCCCATCCCACCCAGCTCACCAGCAGGGTCACCCAGTGCCCCCCAGTTTCCCCTACCTGCAGGCTGCCCCGCGGGCAGTACTCAGTGACGATGCAGATGTTGGGGGGGTCAATGCATGCCCCGATGAAGCGGGTAAGGTGGTTGAATTGGATGTCCCGCATCTGCACATGGAAGCAGAGCCCAGAGGTCAGATGAGAAGAGCACACCCCCTACAGCCAGGACCAGCCCCTGCACCCCGAAGCAGGGCGCCCACCCCAGCCCAGACCCCAAACCTACATGTTTCAGCTCAAAGAGCACCTGCCGCGTCAGCTCTATGCGCTTCTTGTTGATGTGCTTGATGGCCACCACGTTGCCCTGGGGTACCGGGATGGGAGGAAGAGGCAGGGTTTGGGGAGGGATGGAAAGTGTCAGCATCTGGCAGGGCGGCGGTACAGCCACGGGGGAGAACACCAATAGGGTTGGGAAGGGCTTGGGGGGGGTGGCTCAGTTCCCTGCCTGCTGCACTGACCTTGAAGTGGCCGGTGTTGGCGAAGATCTGGTACTTGCCATGGCTGGTCATGAGGGAGCCGTAGCTGGAGCCACGCTGTGGGAAAAGACAGGATTAGCTATGGGGATGCTGGGGTGGGGGGGTGACAGGCACCAACAGAGCAGGGCAGGGACACCCAGGAGTGCGCAAGGGATGGTGCAGGACAAGCTCTGCATGCTCTGTAGGGAGGGTGAAGACTGTAGGATGAGGTATGGTGTGCTGCAGGGGAGGTAGGGAATCGATAAGGTGTGGCTATGTAGGGGAAGGAAGACTTTGTAGGGGTTTGATGTGGTATCGTGCTCTGTAGGGGATTTGGAGCTTTGTAGGGGATGCATCAAGAGTGGCTCTGCAGGGATTCAAAGTCATGGAAGGGATGAATTAGGAGTGGCTCTGCAGGGATGCAGGGTCACGGAGGGGATGGATAGAGTGTGGCTCTACAGGGGATGGAGAGCTATGTAGGGATGGAGGACTGTGTAAGGGATGGGTGCAATAGGGCTGTGGCTCTGAAGGCAATGGAAGGCTGTGTATGGGATAACAGGGGAGGAGTGTTGCACAGGGAGGAAGGGCAACAAGGGCAGGGGCAGGAGGGGGGGTGCCCCAGGGCTGCAGCTCTCACCAGGGACAGGGTGAGCCGGCTGCCCGCTGTCTTGTGGTACCGCTCAGGGCTCCCGAACTGCAGCTCATCCCAGCGGATCCTCCACAGCATGCTGGCAAGCTCCTTCTCCAGCATCAGCTTCCTGTAGGCACACGGGGGGGGGGGGTCAGGGACCTCACATCCCCTCTGCCCTGCCTGCCCGCAGCCAGGCTGAGGTGCCCGGTACCCAAGCAAAGGGTCCCCCAGTGGTGACTGACCTGAAGATGAGGAAGCTGGAGATGCCAAACATGACAAAGGTGAGGCCGGTGCCCAAAGCCACGATGGCCAGCATGGAGAGTGGGGCTGCAGGCAGGAGGGGATTATCAGCGTGGCCCAGCTGCCCTGCACGCACAGGGAAGGGTGCTGGGGACTGAGGGATATTGAGACCCACTTTTATCACAGGAGGGGTCATCCACATCAAAGACACAGGGTGGGTTGTCCAAGGGGGGAGCCCCCTTCACCCAAGGGATCGGTCGTCCCAGCCAGTGGATCTGCTTCTCCACACCTGAGTAGTGCCCCACAACCTATGGCAGAGAGAGCTAAGCCCCATCATGTCCTCAGCATCCCACCATCCCGCAGGATCCCAGTGTGGTCCCCACCTCATACTGCCCAGTCTTGGTGTCACTCATGGCCCATAGGTTGAAGTCAGTGTCCCGGTCATTGTTGCTGTCCATGCTCACCAGCCCTGTCACCCCTGCGGGACAAGCAAGAGCCAAGGTGGGACAAGGACTACAAGAGCCCGGTGGTACCCGCAGCCTGTGTGCCCCTGTCCCACCGTTACCCTGGAACTTGCGGTCCCGCATCTTCTCGATGATGTGCGTGGCGTTCTTCTTGGAGCCGCCCTCCTGCAGGGTCTCGTTCAGCACCATGGCGTACAGCAGCATCCCGTCATAGAAGCACCCCGCCACCAGGTTCATCTGACAGGAGAACTTCACCATACTCGTATACACACAGGAGCCCCCCCAGACCCAGGACCCCCACATCAGGGTCATGCACCCACTCCATAACCCCACACCAGGGTTAACATGCACCCTGTGGAGATCATAGAATGCTTTGGGTTGGAAGGGACTTTAAAGTTCATCCAGTTCCAATGCCCTGGCACGGGCAGGGACACCTCACACTAGAGCAGGTTGCTCCAAGCCCCGTCCAGTCCAGCCTTGAACACTGCTAGGGATGGGGCATCTATAACTAAATGACAGTGGACGGCAGTGCCTGTGGCTGTTCCCATCTGGGATGGCCCTTCCTGCATTGCCCATGGCCGTATCCCACCCTCTGCATCCTGGTGATGTACCACAGCCCCATGCAGAGGATCCCACCACCCCAACACTCACCAGGGAGTAGTTGAGCTGCACCCCAAACTTCTGCTTAGCCCGCAGGATGAGCTGGCTTTGGAACTGGTGGTACTCCGGGTTCTGGGGCTCGTAGTAGGTGATCACGAGCACCATCTGCAACCGAGCACAGCACCCGGTTCACACACCACGACCAGGAGGAGGGGTCCCTGTCCCCAGGCTGGTGCGTGCCCCTCACCTGGAAAGCCTCCCGTAGCTCTGAGTCCTGCCCCGGGCTCTGCTGCCAGGGCTTGAAGGCGTCGCGGGCCGAGTCGCCGCGCAGGCTCTCCCCAAAGACATCCAGGTAGAAGAAGACGTAGTCACCATTGGTGAGGTTCTCCTGCTGTGCCAGCTGCATGATCTGCCGCAGCATCTCTGGTGGCCCACAGAGGTACACCACTGCCGGAGAGAGGTGGGGCGTCAGGGAGAGGATGCCACCCCATCCTGGGGCAGATATGGGGCACGATGCTTTCCCATGGGGTGGGATGCTCCCATGGGGCGGGATGCTTTCCCATGGGGTGGGATGCTCCCATGGGGCGCGATGTTTTCCCATGGGGTGGGATGCTCCCATGGGGCGGGATGCTTTCCCATGGGGTGGGATGCTCCCATGAACAGGATGCTTTCCCATGGGGTGGGATGCTCCCATGGGGTGGGATGCTTTCCCATGGGGTGGGATGCTCCCATGAACAGGATGCTTTCCCATGGGGTGGGATGCTCCCATGGGGCGCGATGCTTTCCCATGGGGTGGGATGCTCCCATGAACAGGATGCTTTCCCATGGGGTGGGATGCTGTCCCCTGGAGCAACAGGGCAGAGCAACCCTGGAGGCACGCTCAGTGCCTGTGGCAAGGATGGAGCACGCAGATGGGGCAGTATTTGGCTCACCACCTTCTCATGCCACACACCCCATGGCCTCAGACCTTGTTGTCCCTGACCTACTTCTGCCCCATTAGCCACCTTATGATGAAGGGGGGAAGGAGAACAGAGGGAGCCACCGCTGCAAACATGAGACAGACACCCCACACACAGACCCTCACACCCTGCTCCATCAAAGGCCACCCGGGGGATGCCTCCCCTTGGCATCACCTCCCCATCTGCTCCCCGCCAGCCCCACTCAGGGGCCCGGGGGGGGGCCGGAGAGGCGCCGGCGGCCCCTGGGGAGCACGGTCTGAGCATCAGGACAAGCCCATGTTTGGGTTTGTGGCCGTCCAGCCGTGCGGCAGGAATGCGCAGGTTCCCGGATTCCGGCACCTTTGGCGGCCGCAGCGCTAATTGGAAACAGAGCATCTCACTGCTGTGACCCACACGGCAAGGGGGTGCCCGGGCCCCGGCCGCCCTGCCCCACATGTCCCCATCCACGGTTGTGGGGGGGGCTCGGACAGCCCCCGGCGCGATGCCCACCCGTGTGCTGCATAGGGGCAGCGTGGGGCTGGCACAGGGCACCGCGGGCTGTGGGGATGGGCGCAGGAGAGTGTCTGGAACCCCCCCGAGCGGGGGCCCTCCCTGCCCTTGTGGAGGATCCTGCCACTGCCTCCTCCCTCCCCCCGGAAAACCAGGGCCCCCGCTCCAGCCGTGCTGGATGGGAACCCGGGATTGAGCAACGGAGGAGGCGGTGCGGGAGGAATGTCACGCTCGGGCGCTGGCCCCTCTCCGTAGGGCTCAGGGCTGGGGGCAGCGGGGAAGCCCCACTCCATGGGATGGGGTCCCTGCTGCTGGGGGGCACCCGGCCATGCAGGCAGCGGTGCTGGCAGGTTGGTCACCCATGGGGGCTGGGGTGGGAGAAGGAACCCAGCGCAGCCACCACGGGCATGGGAAACCCACGGCGGGGTGGGGAGATGCTCCTGGGCATGGGGGAGAGTTAAATCACAGCAGCTTGGGCTGTGCATGAGCAAAAAACCCCGTTCCAGGGCCTGAAATGGCTTCCCTGTGAGTGCTGCAGTGCTTCAAATAAACACTCCCGGCCTGCACACTTGGCTGGTCCTGCAGCCAGCACTGTGCCATCCCCACGCCTCCCGGCCAGGATGGGCACCTCAGCATCATCCCATCATCCAGAGGCTGAGGGGTCCCCCAGTGGGGACACAGCCCGGGACCCTCCACATCCCATCACAGGCACTGGGAAAGGCCATGGGGCCGAAGCAGCTGGTGGCAGATGGTGGGCACCCAGGGCAGGCAGCCCCAGCCGCGGTGGCAGCGGCACAAACCAGCCCGGTCAGAGGCCACCGAGCTAGGGGGGGCTGGCGCCAGCACGGGTCCCTGGGGACAGGTTTGAGGAGCCACAGAGAAGGGAAGGGTCAATGCTTGAGGCTGTCGGTGACACCAGCAGCTGCATCCCTGCCTGCTCATACACCCTGCAGGGATTGGGAACAGCCAAAGGCAGCCCCAGCATCACCAAGGACAAGGGGAATGAGGTCCTGTGAGGCTGGGGTGCAGGCATTTGTTTAAGGGGTGCCCCTGATGCATGGGGATGGGCAGGACCGTGAGTGTGCAGATGGAGTGGCAACTGCCTGACCCCTGCACGGTGGAAGATAACCCTAAAGAGAGGGTAAATCCTGGGTTTATGTAGCTAATCCCAGTTATGAGCAGCCCCATCAGTACAGGGCCCCAGCCCAGCATCTGCCCTATGCCCATAGGGACTGCAGGGGTGAGGACTGCACGCACTCCCCTCTCAATGGCAGCACCCCAGCCATCCCCCAGGCAGGGACATGGGTCTGCAGGCAGATGCTCTGGTAATTCCCTCAGCCACAGCTCTAATTATATCAGTGCTTTTACAAGTGGCAGGAGGGACGTGGGCCCCTGCACGTCGCACAGGCACTGCTGAGAGGGGCCCACGTACCTGCATCCCCCTGTGCCTGCCCTATAGAACATCAGGGACCGGGAGCATCGGGGGCAAACAGTGGGGCTTCCCCCAGGAAAAGTCTTCCAAACTCCTGCCCACCTATGGGAGAAGGAAGGTGATGCCAAGAGGGATGAATGCTGTGTCATTGGTCACGGATGTGGTTGTGACCAAAGCTCCTGCTTCCCCCTCCATGCTATGGCACACAGAGGTGGGCAACCCTGGGGCACTCCTGCAGTGTGTCCCAGGTTAGGAAAGCACCCAACGTCAGCATCGCAGCCCTGATCACCCACCCCATGGGGCCAAGCACCCAGCCCCACATCCTGCCCCATCTCTGGGTGCCCAAACGCCCCCAACCCCCGACAGCCCAGGTCTTTGCCCACATTTGGCCTTCTTTCCCATCAGCCACAACCCTCTGCCTGCACCAGGAGGGATTGATTCCCATCAGGGTGATTTACAGCACCAAGCCGGAAACGTGCACAGGAATCACTGATTTCAGCCTTTTCCCTGCATGATCCTTTGCCCCCATCCCACACGGCTCCACGGCAGGCAACTTCCATCCCACTCCCTCAGCCAAGTGAATGAGGGGCAGCCACAAGCTGCTCATCTCCCACAGCCCACCATGGGATGCTCAGACATGGGGAACCCGGTCTAGCACCCCGAAGCGCCTCAGCCACATCTCCCAGCCTTAACTATGTCTCCCACTGGCTCATCTGGCTCCACTCATCCCAGCTCAATGTCCTTCTTAATGACACAGCATCTCAGGATCCATTAAGAAGCGGCTGGCTCCGGGATCAATACCCCGCTCATCAATAATGAAGGAGCATCAGGCTGCCCTTGCTCTCCAGCTGCCTCCGTAAGCCCCTCCATTTCCTCCCGCTCCCAATATAGCCGCCCTCCTGGGGCTCTCTCTAACAGGCCCTGGATTGATGCACCCATCCATCAGCAGGGTGGGGCCATGCCCAGCCCCATCCGTGGGGCACAGCGTGGGTGCCAGGATAGGGGGCTCTGCATGGGCATTGCACGGCCACCTCGGCCTCAGGCACGTAACCCTTCAGACGGCCACGTCCACAGCATCACCTTCGGCCTCCGAGGAGGTGGCTGGGTCCTGCCTGCCTGTGGGACGCCCCGTTCCTGCTAACACAGAGGGTAAGGTGGCCCCAGCACCCTTCATATCGCACGTCCCACATAGGGCAGGGTCATCACCCAGCACGGGGTGACTGGGTAACAGGGCACCCCATGGCTCCCACCTTCTCCTGGATCCCCCAATTGGCACTGGGGTGGCCCAGGGGTCTCGGATCCTGCCTTGCCCCCCTCTGCACCCACCTCCCCATGCAGGTCCCGCTGCTCCCCCAGCTCCACCATGATAAATGAGCCCACCCCTCACTGCTTTGCCCACCCTGCCTGTGTCCCACATGGGTCCCACTGTGCCCTCAGCCCATCCTCAAGCCCCACATGGGTCACTCTGTGCTCCCAGCCCTTCTCTGCCCCACATAGGTCCCACTGTGCCCCCAGACCCTTGCTGTGCCCCACAAGGGTCTCACTCTGCCCACTCCCTTCTG